TCATCGCATATGTCTTCGTACATTTTGGGGTGTAAAACTTAGCTTTTTATTGGGTGGTGTGAAAAACTTATTATGACTTCAGAACGGGGTGAAAATAGCTATTTCCTCTACTAACTACATGTGTATCTAACGGTTGAAACTTCCGACGGGATGATTCCGTAACATGACCGTAGTAATTCCCTTTAATATAATAAGAATAATCATTTACTAAAACTAGTAGTAAAAAAATAGGAGAGAATTTAATGCTACCCGTAAATAGTAAATTTTATTATTTTTTAATTTTATCTTTAAAAAATATACAACATTAAATGTTACCTTAGATTTCGGGCTTTAATTCATTTTATTATTTAAAAATTTCAGCTAAGATCTATTAAGTGTGTTTTTTTTTTTCATTTTTATTTTTTTTCCTAGAAACAACATTAAAATTTCAGTCTCTATAATTATAAAATTTCAATTCAAAAGGTAATAAGAGTTTTAGAATATCAGTCTTCATATTTGTGCCTTTCAAAACAAAAATATTGAACGCTATTCTTTAAATATCATTTTTTACTAATCATCACAATTTATTTACTTGGAACGTGTGATAATACTTAGTAATGTTTATCAATTATTTGTTTACAATCTTTTTTTTTTCTAAACTCGGTTTCAAAAGGTAAAATAGTTTTCAAATTCTCAGTCTCAATAGTTGTTCATTTCAAAAAATGAAAAATATTTAATGATAATATATTATTTGTTAATAGTACACAATTTTGAATCCCATTATACATTGTATGTTGATATCCAATATATCTAATAAAATAAAATCAATAAATCAATATGAAAGTTCACAGGAAATGAACATAATTAGTAATTTGAATAGTATACGGATCTCAAAATTAATACTCGCGTGGATTCTAAAATTCAAACTTATACTTACATTTATCTTTTAGAAATTGAATAATATATTGTAGGCAATATTTTTTTAAATATACTTAGACATATTTTCTTTACAAAATAGTTTAGAAAATTTTTAGGTGTTCTTAATATTTTAAATATATATTATTTTATGTTATTTTACATAAGATAATTTTATATTGTTTACAACAGATATAGGATAAACTATGTCACATATTAACTCCACATTTTAATTTATAATTATTAGTTAATATTATTCGCCCTCATTTTAATTTATAATTTTTAATTACTATGGTTTACTATCATCTTTAATTTATAATTATTATTAATTTTTTTTTCACCGTACACTGCACGGACTATGCACTGGTCAATCCAAATCATGCGAGTAGGCACGAAGAAGAGCAAGTTGCTAAAATGTGTCGGTTTAAGTAGTAATATTATTATTATTATGGGAAGAAAAGCACAATTAGGACAACATTATTGGAGCACTAATTCCAAAAGAACAAAATAATGGAGGAGAGTGTGGGGACACCAGGGTAGGCGGGTCCCACTTGCATATTGTACTTCGCTTGCCATATTTGCCATGTGAGTACCCATCAGTTCTTGCTGGCTCTCTCTCATTTCCAGTTAAGGCTTGCAAAAGGGCTTCTAAATTTCTAATCAACAATCACATTCAATAGCCTGAACAAGGTGATGAGTATGGATTCGAGAACCATTCTCGATTACGCTCTGTTTCAACTCACCCCAACAAGAACAAGGTACGTTATATCTCCCTGTCTCTGTGTCCCAATCTCAAATCCTGTGTTTTTTTTTTATCTGTAAATTTCTTGAATAATTGGTGATATTGGCTAATTTCGATGTTTTCCTTTGGTGGGTTGTTGATGAATTTGGTTAAAGGTGTGATCTTGTGGTGTTTTCGGGGAAGAAGAGCGAGAAAGTGGCGTCGGGGCTCGTTGAGCCATTCGTAGCCCACTTGAGATATGCGAAAGAGCAGATTTTAAACGGTGGTTATTCGATTACCCTTCGCCCGCCGGCCGAAGCAGATGATGATGTATCATGGTTCAATAAGGCCACATTTCAGAGGTACTTAAAAGAACAAGAAGCAAATGTTGTTGATTTGGGATAAACCACTGTGGTTCAATCTGTTAGAATATATATTTGTGAGTTGTCCGACATCGTCCATACAGGAAAAATAGGCCTAACTTATAAGCGTAGTGGGCTACTCCTCCTCCCACTGAGGCTCATCTAGGCTGGCCTTGCTTTGGTGCGATTCACGTCCGTGGGACCGCACCCGTCAACCTCCGTTCTTCACAATCTACATTTTTTGTGTTATATTGGTCCAGTGCTGGTTGATCAATTGTTATGGTTCCCAAGTTTGCTTTTTTTTTTTCAATCTATACTCTTTTTGCAATTTCCTTCTTTTTCCTTGTAGTTTACTTTAAAATATTACATAGCAATCTTTTTGTATATGACTTTTAGTTTTAAGACATATTGTGGAAAAATTTAGATTGTAGATTATGGTTAAAAGTCTTAATTCTTGTTGAATATCTTTGGTTTGGGGTGTTAAAAATACGGCTTAAGAGTATCTTTTTTATTTTTTTTAATTTCTTTGCTTTTTCTTCTTTTGATGTCTCATTGATTTGTGGCTGGCAGGTTTGTACGCTTCGTGAGCACACCTGAAATTCTCGAGAGGATTGTACGAATAGAAAGAGAAATCTCGCAGATTGATAGTTCAATTCAATCTAATGAAGTTCCAAGGTTGGAGGGAACAGTACATCATGGGGAAGGTACTATGAAGAGCCATCATTTTAGTTTGAAAATACAACATATGTTAATATAAATGTGCTTTGGGGTATAGCTTACTTTGACAATGTGCTCCAGTTTCCCATTGAAAAGAAGCTGTTCTATGACATAATATAATCGAAACTCGAAAGAAAATATATATTTCACATTGTGAGATTTTATCACACCCACATATTTCTCTAATTGGTTGCCATTGCTTTTTTTTTTTTTCTAATTATAGATAAGTTTTGTTAATGCTTTCTATGTTATTAACATATTAAACCTGCTGCCCTTTCAGAAAGCTTGTCGGTTGCCAATGGGAATATAAGAAAGGCAAGTAGTTCCTCAAAGGTATTTTAACTTGCAGTTAAAACAGTGGGTAATATTTCTTTTCCTTTCTTTAACTAATTCGAGATCTATCATGGTTCTTATAGTCAACCTCTGAAGAAGAAGATCATGGGGCTGCACCTAGAGAAAATTCAAGGCAACTAACTGTATTTTTTATAATATGTCAAAGAAAATGTTATCATTCTATTATAGCATTATGGGTCTAACAGGTGAGACATTGGTTCTTTTGTCATGCGTAGGGCTTGTCTTCAACGTGTCATGGATACTCGGAAAGCTTTACTACAGAAAGAGCAAGCTATGGCTTATGCACGTGCAGTTGTGGCAGGATATGAGATCGAGACAATCGATGATCTCGTATGCTTTGCTGACACGTTCGGCGCCTCACGTATGAGGTAAATTTTACAATTTTGGTATTTTTTTGGCACATTATTTAGCGGTCTTTCTGAGCGCATTCGTCCATATAATACGCTTGTCGTGGCCCTTCCGTAAGTCAATAACCGAACACATGGAAGCATTAAATTTGGCTTTAAATGAGTAGGTATTGTAATAGTTTTAAAGTGAAATCAATTTTTTCATTTTCAAAGTTTTCAAAGTTATTCTTTTTGTCATGAAGAGACGCGTGCATTGATTTCAAGGAGCTTTACAAGAAAAAGCATTCAGATGACCAATGGATGGATGAATTAGCTGCTGTACAAGCGTACCCTATGCCCGATCACTCGTACATGGGAGCATCTGGAATTATGCTGACGGCTGATAGTTTTAATGGCAATGTCACTCTACCAGACTCAACTGGTACTCCAACCAAAGGCACGTCGCATATATTTCCTTTTCCTTTCTAAATTCAATAAACGAGTACACTTATTATAACTTATAAGTCTCAACTAGCCAGTTACCCGTCTCCTGTGGCTATGGACTTTATTTATTTATTTATTTCGGTTACAGAAAATAATGTTGCGGCAACTGAGCAAACACAAAACGGTCAACAACAGGTACCATGGATGAACCAGATTCCACCATACATGTACAACTTTCGAGGCCCCATTCAGCAAATCCCGGCATATTACCCTTATTACCCAGGCCATGTGGGGTGGGCCCCACCCGGTGGCATGGTACCATCCAAAACTCACAAGCAATCTCGGAAAAAGGAAAAATCTTTGGATGCAAACGGCACAGAGGCCTCCTCCGAAGAGGACGAACAAACCGGATCGGGCACGGAGATTGATTCAGATGAGGCAAACGAGCATGATAAAGAACTTTTTTCAAAGGGGAAAAGACCTTCTAACAAGCACAAGAAAAAGGGTTCAAAAACAGTTGTTATTCGTAACATAAACTACATTACATCCCAAAGGCTCCATGGAGAAAATGAAAATAGCGAAGATGCGTCAGAAGACGATGAAGGTGTAGATAACTCGAAAAGAACACATAAAAACAGAGGAAAACAGGGTTCCAATTATCAGAACTTAAACGGTTATGGCGAACAAAATAGTGAAATTGGCATCCATACAAATATTTCTGATGGAGGAAAAGCAAACAATGCTTGGGATGCTTTCCAGAATCTTCTCTTAACTCATGAAGAGTCTGATTCTAGTGAGTTACCGAAGCATCACCCTGGAGAAGAACATTATGTCATGAAAACTTCTAATGGAGCGCTTTTAAGAAAGCCTACCGATGGTGTTAATGATTCGGTTCTTTTGGTACAGAGACAAGGGTCTAACGGCGGCCAAGGAAGCTCGATTGATTTTGTTAATGGTGAAGGTATTTGCTTAAATACGAAGAGAAACATTTTTGAAGGCGAGAATGCATTGTTTTCAGAACAGTATAAAGGAGGTACACAGATGAGTTCAGCTGATTTTTCCACCGAGCAAACAACTGTCAAGAACAGGAAAGAGGAAGATTGGTTTATTGTTAACAAGTCATCCGAATATTCGGAAACACAAGGGTCCAAGAAATTGGACCAAAATGAAAATACCATTTTTCATAAAGAAACTTCTTTGGTCGATGATTCTTTCATTATAGAGTCGAGATCGGCAGTAGATGAGCACTATAATCCTAGTTGGACAACAGATATCAATATCGAAGCTGACATTGATGTGCCCAAGCCTGGAAAAGGAAGCCCAACTATTTCGGGCTCTGCCGAGCCCAATGACCTCTGCATGGTTCTCGTGAGAGAGTCGCAAGAATCTAGCGCCTCATGGACCCTGGAAATGGATTATCAAGTCGAGATATCGTTTAACGAAGCTGATAAAAAAAAGTCTTCTGCTATCGAATCGAATGGTCACGCTGGGAAAGAATCTGTGGCGAATGGTAAAAGTGCCAACAAGGGAAAAAGAGATGTGGGACCCACGACGAAAAAGATTGGAAGGGACATATCGAAAAAGATGGATTCTATCTCCAAGAGCAAGAAGATGTCTCCAGCAATGGCACATAAATACAAGTTGATGAAGGTGAAAACAATAATTCCACTTCGAAATCTTGATTTTTAACATTCAAGATTTGAATTTTCAAAACCTATACCTGAAGTCCAGCTGAATTTATGCTAATATATTATGCTGAGACCCTTTAACCATCATTCTTTTTGCACCTCACCTGTTCAACCTTTCTTTTTTTTTTTTACAAATCTTTCTGTTGTTCATGTCAAATTATGGTTTATGACAATGTTTTTTCATGACAATATTTTTTTCATCACAATGTCGTTTTTTCATGACAATGTTTTTTATTTTTCGTACAGGAAGAAGAGGAGCGTAAAAGAATGGAGGAATTACGCATTCAACGGCAGAAGAGAATAGCTGAAAGGACAGCTGCCAGCGGTTTGACTTCCGCAGCATGTAAGAAGCTTCCGGTGGGGAATAAGTCAACCCCTCCGAAACCCGTGAAGAACAAATCTCCATCCACTAAACTCGCTGCATAACAGAGCTGTAAAGTGTTGCTATTTTGGCTTGTGCTTTCTTGTTTTTAGCAAAGATAGTATATTACAGAGTAATGGGATTTGATACTTGTGTTTCAGTAAACATGAAACTGTAAGTTTAAATTTTATATAAATTTTCAGTTCATTTGCCTGCAGTAGGATAATGGAATGAGTTGTGAATTTCTTGGCTGTATAATTGTATTACATGACTTTCCATTCAAATTGAAATAATAATTTTTTTTTTTATTTATCCTATTCCTTTTTATGCTGTTAAAGAAATTTGAACTGCATTGGATGCTCTTTTCATTCTAGCTTAAAACATTTTCCATTCAAAAAAAATTTGATATATATTATATAATATTATTCTAAAGAATTAAATTAAAATGAAAAAGTAAAAAAATTTAAATTTAATTGATCAAGTTATTTAGGGGTCCAGTTTTCCAGATATTCTTGATAAAGATTAAAGATTAAAGATTGAACCTTGACAAATCATCTATATTGACATAATTTAACAAAGAGTTTCGTGCACCAAATCCCCTTATATTATACTAAATATACAAGAGCTATTCTCACCAACCAACTGGACTACCAAGTGTTTTATTATAAATGTGATTTTATCTACTTATATCTATATCTATTTATATAATATAATATAACGAAAATAATATAATAATTAAGTAAACAAATTCTAAATTACAAAGAGTATAATAATTGAATAAATAGATTCTAGATTATAAATATATAATAATTGAATAACATAGATTCTAAATTAGTAACTTCATAAATGTTTGTATTTATTCAGATTTAAAAATAAATAAACCAAACAAAATTTATTTGTATTATTAAAGCTTATATCGAGGATACCTGATATTTTAATTATTACTTTTTTACATTATAAATAATAAGTATTTTTTGTTCTGTATACATTTACCAGAATTTAAAATAAATAAACTAAATAAATAATGAGTATTTAAATTATTTATTACAATTTGGAACATAACTTAATTTAATATATATGTTATAATACTGCACTTCATTTTTTCTTTGGTTTTCATATTAAAATATATTTTATATTTATATTTTTTAATTTATTTTAATGAATGTTGAACATATACCATCCAATCATGGTGGTAGAGTAATATGATGTTTTGCCTATTAGGTTGTGTTCGGTTCAATGGAGGAAAAGCGACGGGAGGGATTTTAATGGAGGGAAGAGAAAAGAAGGCGAGGTGATGTAAAATAGGGGATTTTGTTGGATAAGAATTGGGGGAAAATGATAAATCTTTTTTTTTTGTAAGAAAATGAAAGAGTCCGAAACGAGCTGGCAAAACTGAAATGTGCATAAGAAGTTTAACAAACATTAAATGGGTAAATGAAGTTTGTTTTGAATTAATACTTTGAGGATATCAGTCTCTCTGACGAGATGATTCCAAATGTTGGTCACTCAGATAAATGGATGCCGGAAGATGCCGAAAAGAGAGCAACGAGTTTTTCGAAAATTGAATCCATTGACGTATTTCATTTAAACTTATATTTGAAGGTAACACCTAATCGATGAGACAAGTCTAATGAAATGTCAAATCGATTAGAGTATTTGCCGGAGAACGAAGAAAATTCATCCAAGAAATAGCTAAGTGTTATGTAGATATGTATCCTTTTTTAAAAATATTTTGTTCCATGTCATTTAAAAGAAAAAAGATAATTGGCATGTAAAAATCTATCAAGAGTCATGTAATTTTGTTTATGAATTTGACAATTTTATATACCAAGTTTGATGAAGTCCAAGTTCGTGTCGCAGTTGTGTATTTTTTTTATAAAAAATAAAAAATAAAAAATTGTGCCTTCTGATTTAACTCACCATCGCAAATTTTTCCTACTTTCCTGGGATTTGATCAAAGCCATAGGAAAAATAAATTCAAACCAAGAGCGTTTGGATGAGATGGCTTATGTCTCTTCCAGTTTAACCAGTGGTCTCGTGTTCGAACCCTGAGAATGCAGCATTGTTAAAACTCTTGAGGGAGAGCTTTGCCGTCCATGTGGTCCTACCCAGTTCGATTCCAGATTAGTCGGTTCCCCTGTGGATCCGGAAACCGGAAAGTCCCTGTACCAAAAAGCAAAAAATCCTAAAACAACTCAAAAACTATTAGCTTCTATAATTAGGAGAAACTCAAGACTAAGAGTCCGATAATTATGGTCGTGCATTGCTTTGTCCTCACAGAGAAACATGTAACCATTTTCTCCATTTTTCATTCTCTCCTCTTTTGGAAGCAAAGGGAGCACAAGTCAAAAGTTGTCCATTTTGATGATTTCTGGAAGAGGCACAAAACAGTGCTTTACTGGGTTGTACATTACCTAATTTTCATTTCATTATTATCCAATAGAATATTTATTCAATACCTTGTTTCTTGTTAATATTTTATTATGATCAATTATGTATTGGTCAAACAAATTTTGGATCATTTTTCTTTAATTTTTACCATTAAACCAACTGCAACTGTAATGTCCTGTAAATAATTTTGAAAAGAAAACTAATTAAACATTCAAAAGGAAGCAGGTATTTTTTTTTTAATTTTTTTTTTTTAGCTTTCTATTGAAGACTTTTTCGTATATAAATAGTAATTAAGAGGCGGCCATGTCAGCCGGGGCGTTATGTGGTGTTGCACCTTTCTTTTTCCGAAAGAAGTTTTCTGGATTTGAGGTATGTCATTATCGGTTTTGCTATTGAGCCAACTGTTGGCTTCATAGCAAAACCGATGTCATTATAGTATCTTCTCATTTCTTCATGTAATTGGTTACCATAAGATGATAAATCTTGATTTATGATGAATGTGTTGTAATAGAGACTTTCATATGAATAATAATTTATTCTTTCACCTTCATATCCAAAGGGACATTTCCATTTGAAAAAAGTGTATACACAGTTAGCTTTATGATTTATTTGATAATGATCAATACAAAATGCCGAGCAATATTCAGGCCTGACGTTTCATTTGAGCATACTTTTTGTTGTTTTACTTGTAGGGGAAAGCACGGGCCGCGACCAATAACAAAACCTCGAACGTGACATCAAAGAACACTAAAAGCATGAAAGGTTCGTCTCCCGTGCAGAGTTCAAGTGGTGTAGCCGGCAATTTCGTAACCATGACAGAGCTCAGGAACAAGATTACCACACTCCGAGACTTACTCGATTTCTCTCCTTGTGTTGGTTCTGCTTCTGTGAGCGAGGTCTTTTTTTTTTATCCATCCATTTAACTAATATTAAGTGTCTTCTTTAAAGCTGAAACCGAAAAAAAAGCTTCCCATATAATGCCATACAACTTACTCGTTGTGACTTATGTTTCAATACAGTTGCTGACGTCGACCCTGAATGATCTCTTCAAACGCTACCCAAAGATTAAGCGATCAGAAACTAGAGATGTGCCCATGAATAAGGTTATTATTGATCACGTATCGACCAAACATATACTTTATAATTCGGATACAATATCTTGAAATATCTATGTATTTGAACAGACTCTCAAACTTTTTTGTGATGCTCTGAAATCACTTGGAGATCTGTGGACAACCGAGGAGTGGATGGTCAAATACAAATACGACACTTCCATGAAGTTAGAACATTTTGAATTGGAACAAATTGGTACGCGCCTCGTGTTCTCCTATCGACAGACGATGATAGTTCATAATTTTTTTTAAGAGCATCGCATATCATAAATCTGAAATAGAGTTTTCTTTGCATAAAACATTACATACAAGCAACTAAATCCCTTCTTCACAATCATAGACCTAAAAACTTTTTATAAATGTTTTAGCTTCACATATTCAATAGTTCTAATATTTTTCCACTCTTCAGCACTAGGACTGCTCGAGGACACAATAAAACTGGCGAGAGAGAGATTATTTGACGAGATGGATGAGGACGACGACATGAGGGACTATAACCCTTCCTCAAACGCCTTTGGAAAAGCACTTTCGGAGTCATACTCGGATGGCCCAATATCCCTATCCGCCTCCCCACTAACACCAACTTCAGTTCTCCCAGATGCTTGGAAATCGTCGAGCACTGGTGAAAAGGGTTCCTACTCTCCGCCTATGCTTTTGCCACTCAGAGTCCAAGCAGTCGGAAAACTCAATCCAATCGACCTCAAGCGCCTCTCATTTCACATGTTCCCTCACGGGACTTCCCTCACGCAGGATATTAATAATAATAGTAACAATAAAGACAGGATTACCCAATCAGTCAAGACACAAGATTGTGATCAAGAATCAAGAATGTTGTTTGAACAACTGAAACCTGCAGAGCACGACCTTATGGATAATCAAGATGATGAGATGATGGGGGATATGGAAATTGGGAATGAGGATGTCGACCAACACATGGAGACGAGTGACGAGATTGGAAAAATCTCAAAAAAAAAATTCTTCGAGAAAATAGACAAGGGTGTGAAAAATTGGATCGATGTTCAAACAGTAACCTCACCAAAACCCGAACACAAAAAATGTGATAATAACACATCAGTTGTTCCAAATAAGAATGTAACAATTCAATGTTCGCCCCTTCCTGCCGCCAACTTGTCTCCCTCGCTTCCAACTGCCAATATGTCACAACCATCTCCAGTAACATTTCCGCCTTCCATACCACCGCCACCGCCACCACCTGTCACTCAACGCAATACATTTTCACCAACCCCACCTCCGTTGCCGCCATCTTCACCTTCACCAAACAGCACTCTAACGCCACCGCCACCGCCACCGCCACCGCCAATGGCATCAAGGAACGGTGGACCACCGTCTCCACCACCACCAATGGCATCAAAGAATGGTGGGCCGCCGCCTCCACCACCACCGACGAAAGGAGTAAGAGGGCCACTACCGCCGCCGCCACCACCGGCAAACGGAGGTGGTCAGCCACCGCCGCCGCCAGGGTCAGGGAGCCTTCGTCCTAGGAAAGCCACAACCAAATTGAAGAGGTCGTCCCAAATGGGCAACCTGTACAGGATTCTGAAGGGGAAAGTCGAAGGGTCGAGCTTAGATGGCAAGTCCGCTAGACGCAAGGGTAAAATTGGAACTGCGACTGTCGGAGGAAAACAGGGGATGGCTGATGCACTTGCAGAGATGACTAAGAGGTAATACCATCCATTTTTGCTAATTCGCAACTCGCATGCTTATGTTTCATGACATGAAAGGATCATTTTGCAAATTATAATGTGAAGGCATAGTTTTGAGAGATCAGTAAAATGTGTGGGCAAGGTTGGCATACTTTCAACACATACTTGTCAGAGAAACATAAAGCTCAATAGTTATTTTATATTTGAGAACAACGTAATTAGTTCTTCCAAAAAAAAATTTGATGATTCTGTCAGGTCGGCGTACTTTCAACAAATCGAAGAAGACGTAAAGAACTATGCAGGCGTAATTAAGGAGGTAAAAATTAAGATCAGCTCTTTCGAGACGTCAGACATGACTGAGCTCCTAAAGTTCCACAAGTTTGTGGAATCCCACCTTGAGAAACTAACTGATGAAACTCAGGTTTGCTTATAATTTTCTGCTGTTTAATTTCCAAGATATCGTTTTATAGATTTTACGATATTCTCATTCGATTTAAATTTTTTTATGTAAATTAATAGGTGCTAGCCAGATTCGAAGATTTTCCCGGAAAGAAACTGGAAGCAATTAGGATGGCAGCAGCCTTGTACTCCAAGTTAGATTCAATTGCCAACACCTTGCAGAAATGGCCATTTGCTTCACCAGCTGGCCAACTTTTGGACAAAGTTGAGTCCTACTTCAACAAGGTATGTAAAAATCCTAGAAAAGAAGAGAGTTTACCTAAGATCAAACATAGATTACATGTCTTATACTAAATTTAAATTATTCGAGTTTTGAGGTACTACAAAAAGATAATGCAATTTTAAGATGCTAGAGTTGCCAATTTTGCTATAAGCTGGCCAAGAATACATAAGGTTGTGAAAAAAATGAAAAAATAGGATTACTTTTCTAAGTACAATATAAGCACCTAAGAAAACATTACTTATGATCTACTTAGGCATCTTTTTAATATCTAAAAAAAAAAAAAAATGAGATGGCTAAATACTAAGGAGAAATGATATAAAATATAGATCAAGGTAGAGATGGATGCGCTCGAGCGTACCAAAGACGAAGAACTTAAGAGATTTAAGGCCCAAAAGATAAACTTCGATTTCGGCATCCTTTTACGGATTAAGGAACTGATGGTGGATGTCTCCTCAAACTGCATGGAGGTGGCACTTAAGGTCAGTTCCGCCTTCTTATTTTCATTTTAAAGCAAGTTTTTCATGCATAAAAAAAAATGTTATGAATAGTATTTTAATAATTCAAATTTGATATATTTTCTTGTTTTCAGGAGAAAAGGGAAGCCTCAGCTAAAGAAAACCGAGACCCCAACAAACCAGACACGAAAAATACCGGATCAGGAAAACTTATGTGGAGGGCCTTTCAGTTTGCATTTAGAGTCTACACATTTGCAGGTGGCCACGATGACAG